ACTTCAAGCAAAGAGCAGCAGCCCCCAGGCTGATCCCCAGAGCTTTGCCAGGGTCGCTGTGAGGTGGCCCAGCCCCTGCAGGGTGGGAGGCTGGTGGCCACAGCAGCTCCCCAGCTTCCCCCCACTCAGCTGAGGACTAAAACAGTGTTGGCTCACATAAGGTGAATGAAAAGTGGTTGGTGGTACTGGGTACCCTGAGGGTCAAACCCCTGGCCCCATCTGGACTTCAGTGGATGAAAACAAATGTGGGCTTCATGTGCTGAGCATCCCAGCAGGAGCTGGGAGCACACCAGCACAGTGATAGAAGGACAGAAGGGACTTGGGGGATAGGATTTATCCACTCTGGGTGAGCACCTGAATTACCCCAACTCTTGCACAGGCTGGCATAGAGTTTGCTCTCTTCTCTAGCAGGACCATACAGGATCTGTGAAATGTCACTGGCAAGAACTTTGTCAAACTGATTCATTTCAGTGAGCTGGTTTTGTTTCCAGCTTCCCACTCTTCTCTCATTTTGACACATTTTTATTAGCCAACTTCTTAATGCTCATAGAAACAGTGCAGAGCCTGCAGGTTGGGTAACTTCCCAGTGTGTTTGGGAATAAGGACCAGCTGGGAGCTGACAAATAATCCAGAATGTGCATATGCTGTTTTCTGTGTCATGTTATCAATCTTCCTCTCTTTTTCCTGCTCTCTGGTTTCAAGGCCACATTCCCTTTTATGCCTTGTTAACAAAGACTTGTTTTGGCCTTTTAGCTTCTCAGTCCTTCATCTCGAGAGGAAAATGCTGTGATGGTCCAGTGATGTTCCCTTCTCCTTTCCCTGGCTGTGGCTGCCTGTGCCACAGTCCTGGTTCCCTGGGGCCCTTTCCCTGGCTCTGTGTCCCCTGTCCCGGCTCTGTCCCTGTCCCGCTATTCCGGTTCTGTCCCGGTTCTGTCCCGGTTCTATCCCGGTTCTGTCCCGGTTCTGTCCCGGTTCTATCCCGGTTCTGTCCCGGTTCTATCCCGGTTCTGTCCCGGTTCTATCCCGGTTCTACCCCGGTTCTGTCCCGGTTCTACCCCGGTTCTATCCCGGTTCTATCCCGGTTCTGTCCCGGTTCTATCCCGGTTCTATCCCGGTTCTACCCCGGTTCTGTCCCGGTTCTGTCCCGGTTCTGTCCCGGTTCTATCCCGGTTCTGTCCCGGTTCTGTCCCGGTTCTATCCCGGTTCTGTCCCGGTTCTGTCCCGGTTCT